GCTTTTAATTTGTGCTGCAAATCACGAGTCCCCTTTGGCTCCAGCTGCAGCCGGAGTCGTCGTCGAAGCCGGAGTCGGAGCCCAAGTGCCTGCCAAGTGCTTGGCCAAGAGGCTGTGCGCTGTGTGTCTTGGCCAATCTGCAAACAAAATCAACAGGTGGCGGCGCATATTTCAACATGAAGCTGCCAGGCAAACCGACCGAAATATCAATAAAAATGCCATTTGTTGCGATTGCGTCGTGCCACAAAACGAATGAGAACTGAGAACTGCCGGCCACATAGATAATTTCCAACCATGCCGCACACTGGCTCCAACTACTCTCGAGGCTCTCTCGCAGCTACCCTAACAGGAAGCTTAATGCGTCTCTTATTGAGTTTGTCAAAACAGGCTGCACTTTAAATGAAAGAGCTAAGAAAAGTTTTGGCATTTAACTAACTGGATTTGTTTATAATGTTGCAACAAGAGAGAGCGCTTATTTTGGTGTCAAATTGAGTGCTTAATCTGTTGCAATATTTATAAAAGAGTTTGTTCTGGTTGATAGAATACGAACTTGTGGAATAAACTTCAGTTAACTTCTTAAATTTCTTCGATAACTAAACCTGAGATAAATTTCAAGCTAAATGACGCGTTTTTTTTTTAATATCTAAAAACAAATAAATAAATAAATTGTGCGTATATATTGAAATATATATTTCTCAAAAGAAAAAATGCACACAGCAAGCATTCATCTTTCTCGCAGCAGCTCCTGAAATTTTCCCAAGTGTATCTCAGCTTCGTCTAGACCAAAATATGAATTTATCGTTAATTTTTTTTCTCTCCAGATTTTCCTCGCTGCTTGCATTGAATTTAATTTATTGGCAACACTTTGCTGCGGCTGCCGCATTTAAACGACAAGTGTTGCAAATAAAAAGGCAAAATTAAAGCGGCGCAAATTAGAGAAAAAAAATCGGTAACCAGCGGCGACGTCAACACCGGAGGGGCCCAAAGTGCCAGCAGCCGGGCTCACAAAAAAAAAAAAAAAGAATATATGAAAAAAAAACTTGTTTGCAGCTAAAAACTATTAAAAAACGCGCTGCGATTGCAGGCCACGCTTTGTTGTTGCTGCTGTTGCTGTTGCTGCTGTTGTTGCCGTTGCAGCAAGTGGCTTTGGCTTAATAAAGGCAACAAGGGTGTGCGGCTCGGGCTGGCTAGACGCGGTTGGGGTTAGCGTCAACGCCAAAGGCCAAAAGTGTTGGCAGCACAAACAAATAAAAGGCAATGCTGCTGCTGCTGTTGCTTGTGCACGCCAGCAACATGTGTAGCAAAAAGCCCAAAATGAAGACATGAGCCAGCAGCAAAAACAACTGCAACTGCAACGGCAACAGCAACAACAACAACAACAACAATAACAACAACAACAACGACGATGACGACCTTCTTTTGTAAACGCTGGCTACATAATTGCAACATCCAAAGCAGCAAAGCTAACGAGTTCGGTGCGGCTTTTGTTGGCCCGGTGTGTTGGAATTGCCTCTTTGCCACTGACAGTTGAGAAATTAGAACGGTTTCGTTTATTCTTTGTTTTTGCACTCCTCAAATCACATGCACGTGCGTCCAGTTCAGTTAAGCCCAGTTCTCTGTGTGTAATTGGCGGCCGTGTGTTGCAGGTGTTGCTGCTGTTGTTGCTGTTGTCTAAGGTCAGCAGCAGCTGCAATCAGTTGGCCAAGGCAATCATTGAACCCTGTCAAGCTGTGTTTAATCAATGCTGCATTTTTAAAGCCCATCAAGGCCTGCTGGCCCCCCCTTCGCTCCGCATCGTTTACCTATCGCTTACATGTCCCAAACATTAATGTCGCTCCATTTGCACAAATCGTCGTCGTCGTCGTTGGCGTCGTTGTTGCTGTCATGTTTGTTGTTGTTGTTGTTGTTGTTGTCGCTGTCCTCTTGGCCCGGCCTAAAAGTCTCGGCTTTTGTTTCTTGGGCTGCGTAGGTGGACACTGGCGCATGTTGTTCTTCTTATTGCCGATGTAGCCCTGCGTGATTGCCGCCTTGTTGCTGTTGCCGTTGCCGTTGCCGTTGCTGTTGCCATTGCCATTGATTATTGCCTCTCGCTGGACGCATATAAATCGCAACGCTTAAATCTCTGTTTAAACTTGTAAATTAAAACCTTAATGAGTCTGTACGAATTGGTTTGCTTTGCTTTGGCTGTTTTTCTGCCTGCTATTGCAGTCTTGCAACACGCTGTGCAGCAACACGCATTGCTCAGCTGTAATTTATGCCCCTCTATGGAAACTGAAATTGTTTTTGCACTGTTTTGGCTTGGCCATGAAGTGCATGTATGTGTGTGTGTGTGCATGTGTTTGCTTGTACAAAGGTGAAAAATGAGCGAAGACTGTTGAAAGCTTTAAACTTACAAATATTTATGCAGCTATGTTCTGGGCAACAATTCAAGAATTTTGTACTCGAATCGAGTGCAAAGGCTTTTGAAAAACTAAAGCTCGACTTTCTTAATATATAAAGAAATTCCCCTACCAAGAACGTTTGTTTTAAATAGCAAAAATCCTATCCTAGTTTAAGAAAATGTTCTAAATTTAAAAATATTTAAATAAAAGTTGTTCATAATTAATCAAAGCAACTTTTGATTATTTGAAAGCTACTTGTAGGTGTAGTTCATATTATAACTCAATTCAAGCAGTTTTTGATTATTTCAATCTGTAAAGTCTCGTTATATTATTTTTGTTTGGATTATTTGAAGTGTGGAAACTCTTGTGATACATTTTATTTATTTTGTTTACTTTAAGTCTGCAAAATCTTGTAATAATTTTTGGATTATTTTGTTTACTTTAAGTCTACAAAAGCTTCCAAATCGTTTAATAATTATTTTCTAATCAAGTCTTTTTGCTGTTTGCTTTTGAATCAAGATTTATTCTAAACTTAATTTAAGAGCGATTTGTTGCAGATTTAAAGGAGAAAACGCTTTTCAAACTATTCCCTATAACGGCATTTCGCTGCGTGTCTACACTGTACAAAAGGTTGCATGCAAATTCTTTTAATTGTAAGGCAGTTAAAGTTCCATTTAACAATCATGCAGCACTTCTTTCGATTCGGCCAGTTACAGCAGCAGCAACAGTTGCAGCTGCAGCCTTTGAGGTTGGTAGCGTGTCAGCTGACACGTTTTTAATTTTCAAGCAATTAGTTTGTTTTTTTTTTTTTTTTTTGCTATCCAATTCCAATCACAGACCACAACGAAACTCACATGTGGCCAGGCGCAAGAACCTGCAGACCCAAAGGAAGGCTTGCGGATTGCGGGTTGCGGCGGGGGGATATTGGGGTTTAGCCTACCCGCATTGTCGATTACCTTAAAATGATTTCTTTGCTAATTAATGCGCTGTGAATTTTCTCACGCTTGGCAAAAACCCGCACCAAAAACATGTTCCTCTGTTTCTTCTTCTTCTTCTTCTTCTGGCCACAAGCGGCCAGCAGAATGTTACAGTTACGAGTTTTTCTTTGTGTTCTTTGACTTCCTCAATAACATTTGCATAGTTAGTTGAAGTCAGTTAGTTAGTCGCATGTCAGGTTGATTAATTTAAATGGCTTGTTTTGTGGCCGCACACGCGATTAGATGATTACAGCAAATGCTTTAATTATTAGCATAATGTTTCTCTTCTTTTTTTTCTGTTTTTACCAACCCTTTAAAATGGCTTTTTGGCTCTGGTGCTTATCCGTTTCAAGAGTGTCAACAGCTGCGGCAGCAACAGGTTTGCCAGAAATGCTGCTCGCTTTGTGGCAAATGCCAAATTCCAAATGTTAATTAGCCAATTGATTCGTTTGAACTCTTCCAGTTGCAACTAGCTTTCAGTTAATTTCCGATGTATTTAGAAATTGTTGAATTTTATTTATATTTTATTTGGTAATTTCGCACTGCTTTTGTTCACCTTACACAAGATTCAAATGCATTACGAAATACATATTCGTAGGCCTCACAGCTGCACCTACATCTAAGCGCATCTGAGCCCATGCACAACAACAAAGATGACAATACACACACTCATACATATAAACACATTAATGCACACACACTCACAACACGTCTTTAACCGATTCCGATTTTGATTTCTACTGCGACTGCAACTGCGACTGCGATTGCGACGTTCGCTTCCGCTGGCTAAGCGTAAACGACTAAAAGCGGCCACATAAATTTCAATAGGCCAGGCAGTCGGCAGTCGGCAGTCAGCGAGGCAGTCAGATGGGAAACCAGGCAGTCAGGCAGCGGCTGCTCGAAGTCACAGCCAGCAGCTGACGTCGACGCCGCACAGTGGCTAAGCAGCGCCGTCTAATTGTCACTCCATATCAATAATAATTAATATTGGTATTATTATGCTTAATATTATAAATATATCATTATTATTATTTGTATTACTATTCTCATTATTAATACTAATATTATTATTAATGATATTGTTATTATTATTGTTATTATTATTATTATTATTATTATTATTAATATTATTAATTTTGTCATTATAATAGATGTTTTTGTTAGTATTAGTATTATTGTTACTCTCATTATTATTATTATTTTTATTATCATTATAAACAACATTATTACTATTATTTTTATCATTGTTCTTAGTATTTTCATTATTATTGTTACTATATCCTTTCGCCCATCCCAAGCAATATATTTATCTTGGATCTCTAAATAATGAAAACATAAATAATGTTCAGTTATTGCAAAAATGGATATTTTCCAAAGTTATAGAGCCAAAAAAGTTAACTTTTATGTGTAAATGGGCATTCAGAAAAGATAGAAGACTAGACAAATCGCACAAATAGCAAATACAGTTTCAGAATCATTTGCTCTTACAGTTTAGAAAAATAAGCCACATAGTCTATTACAGGGGTGAATAGGGTTTTTTGTATTTTATATTATATATTTAATATTCTGTGTTTTATATAAATTATTTATTTACAAATTTAAAGCTCTTTTAATAGTCAAGCACAACTTTCCTTTCAGCCGGTGCAAATTGCTGATGGACCACAGTGCAACCAGCAACCAGTATCCTTCCATTCACATGGACATTGTTTGTGGAACGTAAGTAAATACCTCGCTCACTGTTGTTCACGGCTCTTTCGTATTTCTGTCTATATATGTGTATGTGAATGTGTATGAGAGTGTGTGTGTTTGTGCATGTGAGAATCCCATAGAGAGGCATGCCTACAAACTGGGTTTCCAGCATCCACACACTCACTCAAAGTCCACTCTGCTTAAGTATGAGCCAAGCTTCTTATCTTTTTTAATGATAACAACTCATTTAACGATATCAAACACTAGAGTTGCATGCACTTTTCAGTGGCACTTCTTGGTCTAAGCCAAAGAGCTTCTAATTGATAATTTCTCATGCTGCTTAAATGTTTATATGCTTTTTAAGTGATTAATGGTTTCTATTTGTAGTTGGAGGTGTGTTTACAGCAGCTGGACTGTCTAGCCTGCTATCGTAAAATGTTGTTGTTAGAGGTTGAGAAGATTTTATGACAACTTGATGTGATTTGAGGTTAGCTAGCAATTGGGCTGGCTGTAAGCTGGTTTACATCATGCTCGATTATTTTAATTGTTGTTTAGCATATTCTAAGAGTTTATGCAAGGCAAAAGATATTTCCTAAATATAACCCAGGATGATTGTTTTTTGGTAAAAGACTTGACATGTTGAAATCAAATCAAATATGGTAGTAGAGCTGGCAACAGTTTAGTGTGCAAGGCACAGTTTTACTTAAGACACTGCAAATACTCTTTCCTTGTATTTAATACCAAAATTCAACACAGTGGCAAGTTTCTGGTTTCTAGCAGCAAAACCTGCGTTTAAGGGATGTGAATACCGAGCTTTACGAACCAAACCCAAAAGAAGGGTTTGAACCATTAAAATTTTGGTGCGTTTTACAATACTGATTTTAACAGCAAATAGACTTTCTTTTAATTAAGTTCGGAGCAGCGGGCAAATAACTCTTGCGTAGCTCTGCTTTTTGATTTCGTCTGACTAAGAAGTCACAGTTAATGTTGATATTTTATATTTCATTTATTTCTTGCGCTAAAAATTAATTAAAACTGCGTTAAAAATGTTTGCCACACTCCCCGTCGACCGCACAAAGTGCACAACTCGGGCAGCAACCAATTCCAAGACGCGCACATTCTCTGGCAAATACCAAATAGCAACAACAACAAATGCAACAACAACAACTGCAACAAAAACAACAACAAAAACAACAACTTAAACAGCTGCGACAGCAAATCTTTTTCCACTTTTGCACAACTCCAAAGTATTTACAAGCATCGTTCGCAGTCGCATCTAAAAATGTTTGGCATTTGGCAACACGCACCAATGAATAAATAGCAGCAACTGTTGGTGGGGGGAACGAGTAGAACGAGTAGTTAAAGAAGGGATTGGGGAGGGCGGTGGGGTGGGTGTTTGGTTGAAAATGCTTAGCTAGAAGGCTGCTAAAATGTTTGGATTTCAAACGAGCTCATTTTTTGCGTGCGTGGCTGCATTTCAAAAATGATTTGCAATGCGGTCGGTGAACCTGGCAGCTGGTGGCAATAGTGTGGGGGGAGGAGGTTGCAGCACAGTTTGGCAGGAAATGCAGTATTCAGTTAAGTTTTTAGCCGCTGTTAGCTGAACTCGAGAGCCAGGCAAGCGTAACATGTCGAGACCGCAGACGGCGTGACTCGGATGAGGGATGAGTTATCGAGGCGACCACGCGTGAGTGTTGCCTTTGAATTCGAAACGGGATGTGCGAGTGTGTGTAGGTGTATGTGTGTGTGTGTGTGTGTGTGTGTGAGTGTGTGAGGAGGTATATGCATGTGCAACATTGCTCATAATTTATGACAAGAGCCAAAAGCGTTGACTGATAAGCGCCTGAGCAGAAAGAGCTGCTCAGCGATGGGGCACCAAATGCAATTCTTTGGCCACATTTCCCAGCGGCAACATTATCAGCGACTGGTCGCAGCAACAGCAACAGCAGCAGCCGACACAGCAGCAACATCTTCAGCTCAAGGCGCATTCACATTCACGAAGTGCAGACAGAAGCCGAACTTGCCCATCCGAAGAGTTGTTGTTGTTGCTGATGCCACGCGGTTTTGCGTGCCACACGTTGCTAGCTGCCACAGTTGCCGCAGTTGGTGCAGCAGCTGCTGCAACTGCTGCCATTGCTGACATCCACGTGCAACTCATTTCTGTGCGCCGCATCAGTTGGCAGCGTGTTTTTTGTCGCCGCGTCGACGCCAGCAGCAGCGGGCGACATGGCAACATCTCGCGGTTGCCCACAACAACAGCAACAGCAACAGCAACAACAACAACAACAACAACTGGAATGTTGTCAGGGGCAAAATGTTGCTAAGCCTGTCACAGTTAACTAGAACGAGAGATTAGATCGAAAAAGAGACGGTCCAACAATGCGTGGGAGTAAGTGAGAGGGCGCACAATCATTGTCTTTGTGTTGCTTAGCAACGTTAACTTGTTGGGAATTATATTTTTAATTTTTTCTTGAGTTTATAGCTTAAATGGAAAAGCTAAAAATGTGACGGAAATACTTTAAATAATTATAATTAGATGCTAAATGCTTTAAATCAACTTTGGACTGATTGTACTTATGGAAACTATATAATATAGAAGTCCGAGATATCGAACCTCACAATTTACGCCCACAGGCGAACTTGTCTTTATCATCGTGGCTGTTGATATGGATTGAGAAACATTAAAGCAATTCAAGAGTTTATTAAAGAAAGTTAGAGATAGTAAAGATATTTGTTTCTATCAGCATGGATGTTGGCATTCATCTACTAAATGTATGTTTAGGGTATTTGATCTTCGTCAATCTATATAATTACCGATATTTATATTTTGTTCATTTGCTTCAACCTATTCATCTTTCGAACCATCTGTCATAACACGTATTTGCAAAATGAAACTCATTTAAGTTGCTAAAATTAATGATCTGCTGCTAATGAACTCAGTTTGACAGACGCTAGAAATCATTTACAGATGCAACTCGACATGTTGATAGACAAACAAAGCTGGAGTTGCCGCGAGATGCTTTGCTGTTGCAATTAGCATGTGTAATTGGCATTCTTGCCACATGGCATATCATTAGGCCCAGGCCGGTCGACAGCCGAGGGTGCAACTCACTTTTGGCCAGCGGCTAATTGTTTGTGTGTGCGAAATGGCACAACAAAAACACAAGAACACAAGAATGGGCGGTACAAATGGGGCGTGTCGCATACACTTTAAAGGCGACAACAAATGCGCCCCTAAATGGCACTTGCAACATGTTTTTTCGGGGCGTGCGCTACATTTGGGGGCATCAATTAAAGTGCCACAAAGTAAATGAAGATTGAGGCACAAAAAGTGAAATTTCAATTAATCAATGCAAGAGGCAAGCAGCCAATGTGTGGCAAGCGGCAGTGGCAGAGAGGGGCTGCATTTGTTGTTTCAGTTAACACTTTTGCCTGTTGGCCGCGATAAGATCAAAGATCAAAGCTGCAAGTTCAACATTTGGCAACGGCCGCTCACAATTCGTGTTGCCATTGTTTGTTGTTGCTGTGGCACGCGCCGGCGCAGGTCAAAAGCGTGCAGTCTGAAAACGGTAGCCAGCAAAAATTGCGGCATGCAACATGCAGCATGGACTGCATAGTCCATGATGATAAATGTGCGCCCCATAGAATCTGTGAATGGTTGCTTGCTGCGGTTGCGGCACTGTCAAGTGTTGCCACTGCTGCTGCCTCTGCTGCTGGTGTGGCAGCTTTCGAGTTAATGTTGACAATTTAGCACAACATTTGTTTGCCATGTTATTAAAAATTTGCGACGCTTTCATGCAACATTTGCGAGCGCAATTAGTTGCATTTATAATTGGGGGACGTGCTCTGCAAAATGCTCCGCTTGTCTTTATTTTATGTGGCATCATTTCTTTTTATTTTTTGGGCAGTCTGCAACATGTTCGAACGCTATAAATCAATTTGGCGGAAGAGCCGTCCAAAAGGCAGCATGCAAAAATGCTTGAAACGTGTCGGCTGCATAAAAATTCAAGTGCGCTACAGTTGAAAAATCTCGTGGAGAGTTATTCCGAAATTTGTCTTTATATATGAGCAGGCGAGGGAGTTTGTTAGAAGCAAAAAGTGAAGAGCATAAAAAATCCCAAAGTCATAAGAAAATTTAAGATTTTATATAAAAATATGTTCTCAAATGTTAACACAGACATATTTTGATTTGAGTAATATTTGACTTGTTAGTTAAATCGAAAATGTGTTAATAAATTACCAATTTTTTTGACTTCGTTTGCGATAAAGTACTTTCGCTGTTGGCCAAAAGTCGCATTGATAATATAACCAAAAGCTTGGTTAGCAAAAATTGGCGAATGCGAATTAAAATTTTATCGACAACAATGTTGCGGTCGGAAAGCAATAAAAATTGTTATGCTGATGAACGACATGACACCAACAGCAGCAGCAGCAGCAGCAGCAACATGCAACAACAGCAACCGATCGACCGCAGCAACAAGCAACAACAACAACAGCAGCAACAGTTGTCGCTGTTGCCAGTGGACCGCATCGCGAAATTCTTTCTTTCCTTTTTAGTTTTTTGCTACCTTTTCCCAGCTTTTTGTGTTTTTTTTTTTTTTTGTTTTTTTTTTTTTTGGAGGACTTTGTTGGCTGCTAAACTCAAAATGAGAAATTGCTGCCGCTGGTGCAATTTTCATGGTTGACCTCATTTTGTTGCTGTCGTTGTTGACTTTGTGGAATATTTGGTGGCAGCAGCAACAGCCACAACAGCAACGCATCAGGCCAGACAGTCCGTCAGTCCGTCAGCCCGTCAGTCAGTCAGTCGGATGATGTTGAGACTGAGGAGGATGCAAGCAGCGACAGTCGACGACAACATGAGCCGGTCACGTCAGCGCCTGTGACAATTTGTCGCTAAACAATTTTTGAACCGACAAAATTGTAAGTTGCTGTTGTGTATGTTGCCGTTGTGTATGTTGCCGTTGTGTATGTAGTTGCCGCATGCGAAAATTCAATAAATAAAAATGTAATTACGTGTTGAACAGCTG